GAACAATTATTTGCTCGGCCATCTCCATGGAAATGGGGCGATCGTCTGCGAAAAAACAAAGGGTTCTTCTCGCCGTTTTATTCGTTTTCATTGCCAACAATGCGTCGAATTCTATTGCTGCTTCTGTTGCCGTCGGTCCACGGCTCGTTCAGAATGGTTGTAATCAACGGCGAGCCGGCCAGTTACTCGGATTATTCGACCGTCTCCGAGTCGTGGACCTCTTGCGTGTCCTACTGTTATTACTCGAGCACATGTGTGACCGTGTACAGTCCAGACACCAGTGGAACTTGTCGCGTCTTCCGAATTGATCAGATCTCAAGTGTTACACAGTTGTACGACACCACCGGACAGACAATCGCTATTAAAGTTCGTTTTTAAAACATCTTGAAATGTTTGACCTAAAGTTACAGATGCTCTCAAACTCGACAGACGGTTCCTGTTCCTCCTCATCATCTGGAAACTCTATGACTGTAATTCCTCTTTTTTCCTAAAACTATTGTCCATTTACTCTTCTTTCAGGGCTACGTGACCACCAACTCCACCTATCAATCCTACAATATCACAGTTTCGGATGCGACGTGGACGTTCAGCACAGACACCCAATTGTCTTGTCTCTCGGACTTTCAACTATTCGTTCGGCCACTGGGACCGTGGTGTATTGGGGTACTTTATGGGCATCTATTAAAATATACATACATTCTGACAGGTTATCACAACCGGATGCATTTCTCAAACGGACAGTGTCAGCCAGTGCTCCAGTACCTATGGAGGGATCTTGAGTGGATTGCAGACTATTGAGGAGTATGATTATATTCTGTGTAAGGGTCATACAGTGCGGTGCAAGTTTATAAGGCCACCCCCGTTTGGCACTGCCACGTGGCGCTCGAAAATTTTTACGACCCGGCGACTTCAAAATCCGATTCAGGGCACAAAGTTACGTATGTTTGGTGATTTTCGTGATGATACCTTGAAAACTGTCCGAACTATCTTGAAAAAACTGAAAATTTGCCTTTTGCAACCGTTGCAAGTTTATAAGGCCACCCCAGGGGATAGGGGTTTTCGCTAGTCCGGTCAACCCCTATGAGCACAAAATAAGTTGTACATATCTAACAAGACGTTTTAAAGCTGTTTTTGTCATTCAGACGCTTTAGGTTTTTTCGTAAAAACATGGAACATGGAACTTTCCCGAGGATTCGGAAAAACTCTTAACACAGCCATTCAAAACGGCCGGATGATCGAACCAAGAGACCAGTTCTCATCTAAAGTGCTTCAAATACATTTTGTGATCAGTCCAGCCTAAAAGAACATCTTAGAAAAACCGGAAACGGGTTTCTCATGCCAAAAGGTTCCTCATCCGTGCCGTTTCAACTGCGAAGCAGTCCTGCAACGGCATGGAACAGGAGCTGGACCGTGGATTTAGAAAGTGTATGGTTTGGGAAACTGTTGAGGAGTGCCCTAACAATGTTTCTGAGACCATGTGACCCTCTCCGTGCATTCCGTGCATTGCCACAAGTCACATCGCATCGAATGCGTCCGTGGCAACATGTCGACCAATGAGGGATCGGCTGTTATGATCGGTTTTGTTTGTCCAGAAACATGTTTTCCGGTGAATTCATGCCTTCTGCTGAAAATATGGTCAATTTGAACGGTCTGGAGGAATGGAAGTGATACTGGCACGACATCCGCACTGACCGCTTCGTCTTCTCAAAGAGAACCTTTGGAGAACGAAGCCTTATGGTTTTGAACGCTTTCTCCTCGATTGGATATTTACAAAATGCATTCAGATAAACTTGTTGCACTGATCTGAAGTCCTCTAGAATCATCTGAGACCCTCCCGTAGTTTATTTGGTCTCAATCAGAGTTTGGCGACAGGGATGGCGAACATTTTCGCACACACATTCAGTTTCAATGTCTGCCCGGTCTTCCAAAAATTCTTTTTTGAGTTTCGACTAGTCACGAAATGGATTTGAATCACTTTAGACAACAACTGAACCATCGGTTAGGCCATCCAACCGTTTTGAATGGCTGTGTTAAGACTTTTTTGGAATCCGTAGGGAAAGTGCCCCGTGGCATGTCTTACGAAAAAACCTAAAGCGTCTGAATGACAAAAACAGCTTTAAAACGTCTTTTTAGATATGTACAACTTATTTTGTGCTCATAGGGGTTGACCGGACTAGCGAAAACCCCTTTCCCCTGGGGTGGCCTTATAAACTTGCAACGGTTGCAAAAAGCCGATTTTAAGTTTTATCGAGGTAGTTCGGACAGTTTTCAAGGTATCATCACGAAAATCACCAAACATACGTAACTTTTTGCCCTGGATCCGATTTTGAAGTCGCCGGGTCGTAAAAATTTTCGAGCGCCACGTGGCAGTGCCAAACGGGGGTGGCCTTATAAACTTGCACCGCACTGTATATAGGCAAAAATATGATATTTTGCTTCAGCGATTGGGCAGCCATACCTTGAAGCTCAATCAACGTACACCAGATACGGCTACTGGGTCAACGGTTTCCGTAACTCTTCGTGTATGTATCCGACCGCCAGGACCGCCGCGTGCAACGGCACAAACGAATTCTACTTCACCGATCCGCTACTATCCGCCTACGACGGCTACGTTTGGGCGTCCGGCCAACCGGATGGAATCGCCTCGAAACAACTTCAGAACTGTTTGAGCGTCGACTTTTCGTCGGCCGAGGGTATCGATGATTATAAGTGAACTATTCCGGTTTTGAACAACAAAAACACCGTATGATTTCAGCTGTAGTGCGACCACAGTGACAGTAAAAGCGACTTCATCGACAGGCGGTTACACATTGTGCTATGCTGGATATGCTTGCGGACTCGAACCGGTTTAATATTATTGGTTCCTAATGAAGTTGGTGGGATTAGAACTTCTTTCAAAATACATAAATGTATAATAGTTTCTCCCCCCTATAAACTTATCGAAAAGTTCAGCTAGAAGTGTCTTGTGCCAAATCGCCATATTTATCCACCATTGGTGCATCGAACACTTTGAAATTTTTTTTCAAACCAGAGAAAAAGTGGCAAAAAGCGATAGGTTCCACCGAGATTTGAACTCGGGTCGCAGGATTCAAAGTCCTGAGTGCTAACCGCTACACCATGGAACCGCATGGCCTGGCGAGTGTTCAGAGCGGTCACAATCCCCACGGAGGGACCGGTCGACGCGCGCTCCGCTGTTTGTTCAGTGTATCATTGAAAAAGAGGCCGGCTGGCGACAGGCGGTTCCATGGTGTAGCGGTTAGCACTCAGGACTCTGAATCCTGCGACCCGAGTTCAAATCTCGGTGGGACCTATCGTTTTTTTTTTGCGCTTTTCTATTTTTATTGCGTAAAACTTGTGCTTCCCGTAAAATGTCGGAAATCAACACGTCGACAGGTGATTCAAGGCTATCGATATTTCTGAGAGAGCACATTAAACTCGCTTCGGCCTTTCATATCCTTCCTCTAAATGATTATTGCGGACTATTCATCTTTCGACATTTTGAACGATCAATTATACGATATTCTGCACCCGAAAGAAGAGCACAAATCGGTTGTGATATTAAAGTTGATATTCTTTGTGATATCATTGCTTTATTTCCTACTATTCGTCGCCATTTTTCCCGTCTACGTGTATGTTAATCGAACGAATCGAACGTCCGACAGAAATGTAAGCGTCGCAGAAAAATCTGTGACCGACAGTTGAGAACTGTGCTTCAGACGGCCGTGTTCACAATAACCAATCATTTCTACTGGTGCGTCAAATGTTTCTATCCTCAAAGCCTCATTTTCATCGTCATCCTGCTGACTCTTTACATATTCAACAAAACGAGTGATACGAACTCAATAATGTACGAAAAATGCAGCTGTTTATATATATATATATAAGTAAACTTTTCACACAGATCTGAAATCATATTCTACATGCTGGCCTTTGTTTTGCTTCTGATTTTAGTATGGATGCTCGAAAGTTTACAAGTGCAATATGTGCTCACTTGTTTTCTGGCCGTTCAACGATTTGTTCTCTATTATAAAGTGTTCGCGGAACCGACTGGAAACGTGGATGCGAAGAGAACGAAACGAATCATCGGTTTGGTGTATTTGTTAACGTTGAGTAAGGACTTTGTGTACCTTTGTGCATCTGCAAATATGGAAGAAACTCACAGATGGAGGGAAGATCCATTGGATCTGAAACATTGGATTCTCGTGGTGGGTTTGAACCAGGAAAAAACGAAGGAAGCTTGTGTTTAGATCTATTACGGCTCGCTTAATATCGTCCTTTTCCTATCCGCACTGCTATACGTTCCCATAATATTGAGTATTAGAAAGATGAGTCGGTTATCCAGTTACACCCAATTCCAACCGCACAAGTACATTGCCTATCAAACATTATCCATTGTCACTTTCAAAACGGTATGTAATTAGGCTTTCAATCATCGTTTTTCGAAAATAAGATCTTTTCAGTTTTACAACCTCATATTCCTTTTGGTTAGTTACGATTATCGGTTCGAATCAACATTCTTTTCGGTGAACACTCTTCAATTAAACAAAAAGTGATTCATTCATTCATTCCAGATGGCCTTCTATTCAATCGCTCTCGATTTCCTCACCATACCTGTCATGACTCAGCTATCCTACTTGTTTTGCAACAAGAGAAATGTGAAAATATTATTCTCGTTCCCTCTGAAACGTTTTCTGATCACTTTGCTGTTTCCAGAGTGTTTGAGCACTCAAATCGAACCGTACCATTTGGGAATTTACGATCCAACTGCCACTACTTGATTTCTAAACGGACTCATCCTTGTCAGATTGTCGCCAGAGGTGAAGAATTTTTATCTTTTTTAGAAAATGTTTTCATGAAATGTGATCAACGGACGAAATGTATAGAAAAGTGAATTCTGCTCATAGAAAAATAATTGTACATTTAGCTTTTCATACAAAAAAGTTAAGGGCTAACCGAAGACGGAAGGACATTTTCACGCAACAACTCGAATAACTGTTTTGTATGAAAAGCTAAATTTACAATTATTTTTCTATGAGCAGAGTTCACTTTTCTATACATTTCGTCAGTTGATCACATTTCATGAAAAAATTTTCTAAAAAAGATAAAAATTCTTCCGTGTTCATCCGTTGAGTTCTTCCGCGCAACTCTGGTTGTCGCAAAGCGAATTATTGTACAATGAAAGAAAGACAAGTAGAAACGACTATTTTATTAAACAAAACAATTCACAATTTCCATTTGATGATGCTTTTTCCATACAAATTTATAAAAAATCCTGAAAGAAACCAGTTATTCAAAATGTCCGCTCATTCAAGTGTCTCACCTTTCAAATGTAGTTTATACCATACAAATTTATTTTTATTATTTCCAATTTGACATCTGAACAAAGTTTCGCTTGTTAGATAAACCTTTTGACTCACTTTTTCCAGAATTGCAAAACACTTTGATATAGATGAAGTATAGAAGAAAAACTAGAGAAAATAGGAGAAAAGGGGGGCTCACAATGCGAGCCCAAGAGTCCGAATGATCTTTTCGGTTCGGCGGCTCAAACCGCGAGATCTAAAGAGACGAAGAGAAAAGCGGACGGCGCTTTGGTGCAATTATCCGAAGAGCAACGGAAAAATGGAAGAGGAACAGGATGGTGAGACGGTTGCCAAACGGGGTAAACACGGGAAATAGTGTAGGAAGAGATGCGGGCGATTTGGAGCGGAAATCATTCGGAAAAAGAGCTTATGCGTCATGCGGCCACGAGATTTTGAGCATTTCGAAAATCGAATGACTTTTAGACTCATGATGCAGGGCTTTGAAGGATTCATTCATTTCCAAGGCCCTTGCGGGAATTGCCATCACTTTGTCAAGTGATTTTGCCGTACGAATGAAACTATTTGACCCTCAATCAGTGCCAAACATTGGGCCATCCCAAGCCGACAAAAAACGAGGTGTTTTGAGAAGTTAGCGATGATAGCAGACTTGCACTATTTCAAAGAATCTGCTGATCGTTCAGGTTGAACGAATTTCTAAACGAAAAGTAGCAAAACGAGGGTTCTAGGATCGGCCAGGCCCTTGTAAGGCTGGGAAGGATAGAATCATCTCATCTATCTCATCTAATCCGCTCAACTTTCCGCCCACTTCGTCCCTGATCACAAACCTCGTCAGACCTCGGTTTCGTTCGACGCACATTTGTTTCCGATTTCTGGTTTGTTCGATTACGGCAATACACGTGTTTCGATAACGGAATTATAGTGGAGTCTATCCGCCACAGGCAACCGATAACAGGATCATGAAACAATGTGCACGCAACACGATCTTTGTCGGTCAAAGATTTATTGTTCACTCTCGAAAAATAATAAGACTCAAGCATGGATGGATCCCTTCTTGCAGACGTAGGCCCTCATGATTGTGTTGCACTCCTCGTTGTTCCAGTTCTCGTACCATTTGTCGTGCGAGAGATCCGGCGCCGTCTCGACGCACAGTTCCTTGCTCGGGTTGTCCGGTTGTTTGGGCGCCCAGTTGAAGTAGTCCGAGGGGGTTCCGTCGGTCCAAACCCAGTCCTGGCCGACTTTGTGCATTCCGATCCACGCGAGGTCCTTCGGGTTTCCTTCTTTCACTCCGCACGAGGCAAGGTCTGCAAGAGAGAGATTTGGAATCGGATTCGAAATTCAAACTTTTCTCTGGGACTCTTCAAATGTTCTTCAGGACCCTATCGAGACCACAAACTCACTATTCACAAAGGTGTTCTCAGTCTCGGTGTGCACCGACGCGAGATGTGCTCCGAGAATGATACACGCCGCCTCGGCGTCGTCCCATTTCGCATTGTGGTAGACGCGATAGCAGTAATCGGTCGGCGCGAAGTACGTCCATCCCATGTCGCACGAGGGAACACACGTCTTCACGGGACACGGCGTCGGAGTTGGACACGTCGTTGCTGCAACATTCGAGCATTCGAGCATTAAGTGTGACGTTTCGCGATAGGGTACTCGGAAAATCAGTTCAAACCGGTCATGTCTAAACTAAACTACTGGGTTTGTTTGGAAGTTAATGTCTTCGAAATGAATTAAAAACAAAAAAACTAACGTGCTGGTGTGGTGATGGGCGGACACGTGGCAGTCTGGATGACGGGCGTCACACAGACGTACGGTCTGTAGGAAGTGCATCCGATGGCCGACCAAGTACCGTCGCCCTTGTCCTGAATGGCGCAGTCGGCGCCCTGCTGCGGCTCTCCGATCTGCCAGTCCTGGTAGTCGAAGGTGACGGATCCGTCGGTCCACTTCCACGTGCCGGACACTTGCAGGTCGTTGGCGCCGATCCAGTAGTCCGAGTAGTTGGACTTTTTGAATGCGACCGCCGCGTTTCCCTGCACCAGCGCGTTCTCCTGTCCGTTTTGGACCGATGCCAAGTGGCCGCCGAGCAAATTGCACTGCTCTTCGGCGAATTCGAATTGAGCCGGCGCGGTGAAGTATTGGTAACACCTTGAAATCAAAGTACCATTTCTAATCATTTCGTGAAAAGTGGTCTGATTCTCAATTCCCAATTCCTAATACCCCGTTATCGATACATATAGTTAACTGTGTCTATTGATGTCATTCTATGATATTTATCATTGAACACTTTTAGGCTAACCATGGTGCATCGATAATATTTCCAAGAACGTTTTGAAACCATAGAGTCCCAGTTACAGAATGGCTGGTTTCGAAACGTCCATGAGAAGACTTCTCGAAACCGTGTTTCTTTGTATTTCCATGCTTTGCAACCGGTTTCGAGAAGTCCCAAAAGTCGCTACAGTGATCGCCTACCTGTTGAACTGCGCACTGTAGATGCCTCCAGTGTTACACGACTGTCCGGTGACATCTCCGACAAAAAGGGCCAAGAGACCGAAAAGCACAATAGTATTCATTGGTGATTCGGGGGGAGCAGAATCACTTTGAGCGCCCACTTTTTGATCGGTCTTATCAGTTTGGGAAAAGGGGCGGAGCTTAGAAATGCCAATGGACAGCATGAAAATCGCGTGTGCGAACTAAGGCGATTAAAAGTGAAAATTATAAAATTGTGGAGAAGTAGTCCGGTTGAAAAGGCCAATGGCGAATTTGATTCTCTCGAAAGTGGGAGAAACATCTTTAGGTCTACTATATGCAAAAAAAAAAGAAACTCTGAAAACAAATACAGAAATGGGGAATGCGAATACCTGAAGAATCGGGCGGAAAATCAGCGAGAATCGTTTTGAGGGAATGAAATTAATGAGAAAACAGAAGCAACAACGGGAAAAAAGAAAGAGGGAACAGGAAAGAGATTGGAACAAATGGGCAAAACTGGGGAAAAACAGGAAAAGTAAAGAATTCAGTAGGTCTCATTGAACAACGGCTTGTCCTTGCTGTCGTACGTCGTTTTCGTGAACATGTCCTCCTGAAAGAACGTCGCACTTTCAAAATTGTCGCTTTTCACAAATCTTCGACTTTCCACAGATTCTTCTCCTCATGAACTCACGTTGTACATCGACTGCATCATCTCCTCGTTGTCCTTCTCCGGATCCATGAAAAACTGCCGTTTCCACTGTTCGTCAGTGCGCAAAAGGCGGCAGAACGACGGATCGAACTGGGACTTTGTGATGCGGTCCTCGATCACCTGCTTCTCCGGCCAGTACTCGGTGATTCTGATGGGGAAAATGTGAAAATCGGCGGGATTTTCCGGTGAGTTACCTGGCCATGTGAATAATTTTGGGCTCCGGGAGGAAGTCGTCTTTCCAATTGAGCACAATCGTCGGCCGGAGCACTCCGATGTGCCGTTCCATAATAATCGGATAATCGGTGATCAGTGAGCGAATGTGGTGAGAATCGGCTTCCGTCACTGTAAAAATACACTAACTTTGGGTCTATTCGCTCAAAAACCGTACTAATGAGTGTAATGGCGGCGAGTGCGTCGAAAAGTGCCTCGGGAAACTTGTACTTGTTGTAGAAACGACAAATGTCGAGACGCTGTAATAGAGACGGTTATATTTGACTGGAAAACGCTTAAAATACCTTTTCCCAGCTGTGCTTTTCAATCAAATTGATGTCGGGAATCATTCGGAACGCACTGAGCACCAGATCGTACTCCTCGTCCATTTTGAACGATTTCTTGTCAATGTTCGGGCAAAACGAGAACATTGGAGCCCTCGAGTAGACCATCGGAAGGTATCTGAAAGGGAACATTGCTACAGTTTGTTGTTTGGATGTAACAGCAATGCTTTTTACTCAAAACAGATGGGAAACCATTCAAACGGCTCTACTGGCCTTAGGAACAATATTTGAATTTTATGTTTGTCTTCCCTGTGAAATTCTGTGTCGACCAATGTGAAAACGTGCATACTTTTGAAATAATTTCACTTTCCCTTGAAAAATAGTGTTTCTCACCTGTGCACCTTCAGATTCTTGCCCCCGCGACACTCGATCACCCAAATGTCGTCCTCTCCAAACAAATCGATCGGCGCGATCACATCCGTATCCTTTCGCGGATTGTTGATCTTCAACGTGGCGTAATGCCATGTCACACCGAACATTCGATCGGGACAATCACTGAAAAGAGAATTTACCCCCACAGCAAAAGAAAGGAATGGCTCTACGCAGCGTGTTTCTCCAATTCGAGTCGGAACCCGTACTTGGCCAATCCGTTGCTGGGTATCGTCGACTCGTTGACTGTGACGGGCGATTGACGGTAGTGCTGGAGGAAGAAGAAGACGCAGAGAGGGTACTCCAAAGTGACCGCCCACAGACTGTCGAAGCCGTCGAGCATCGAGTTGAGACTGAGCACGTTGTGCTGCACGAATTGCAGGAGCGTCGGGTTGAGCATCGAGAGGAACACCGAGTTTGTGTGGATGTTCAGCATCGCGTGGTTGTCCTCCGTCTGCCCGTTCTCGTCCTTTTTAATGCGGTATTGGAAACGCACCTAAAATCTGGCTCTTTTGTTCAGGATTTTTGATCTGTTAATTGAAGCGTTTGGCTTTGATGGGCAATGATTGGAAGAAGTTCTCTCTAATTTTTGTAACTAGTATGAACAAGAGCAAAGCTGAAGTTTTGGACAATTTCTGTAAGTTGTGCAAGTGTTCTCATTCCCTCAAAGCTCAAAAAGAAGTGCTCAGAAAACTTTACGGAAATCGGAAAATCTGATAGGAAAAGCCCCGTGTCCAATGTCCGTAAAACGTTCCAAGAGCGAAAAAAGGTGAAAAAACGCCCCGAGCACTCTACATTCAGGTCCATCGGCACGTCGCCCACGATCAGCAGTCCCTCCTGTATCTTCCGCAGCACCAACGGTTGCGGGTTCCGTGTCATGAACTGCGTGGAGACACAGTTCTGAGTGCGCGGCAACCACCATCCGACGGTTCCGCGCACCGAGTATTCGATGCACCATTTGGCGCACACGCACAGCAGCAGGTAAAGGGTCCGTTTGACGGCGTACAGCTCCAAATGTTGGAAGTATTTCTCGTTGTTTGACAGCCATTTCACTTGTCTGAAAATGTAGGCATTTCAGGGCAAACGGATTTTGTTTACGATGGCTTGAACTTTCGACCTAGACACTTTTTTTGGTCTTACGGACTTATCGAGCCGAGTTGTGAAACAACCGACCCCTGTGAGCCTACCTGCGAATGTAGTAAAAGTGCGATCGGATGGTCTTCGCGATGACGAGCGGCGTGAGTTCGGTCGTCCTCAGCCCCTTCTCCGGATGCTCCCGAATATAATTCAGTTCGCATTCGTTGAAGATGCGCGCCGACTCCATGATGGTCCGCGTCTCGCGCGAATGATACAGCGGCTCGAATCGGTGCACGTTGTCGTCGTAGGCGTTCATGAGCGAGCGAAGTCTCTCCGACATGTACTCGGTCCCGTCGGCGGTGAAAAGATCCGAGTCGCGGTCGAAGAGACGGGGCACCGAAAGACGGTCGGCGAACGGTTCGAGGTGCGAGACGGAGCGGTCCGAGGGCAGAGAATGGAGAGAGCAGGGCGAGGAGCAGCGGGCGTGGCACCGGATCAGACGGGTTCTGAAATACAGAGGTTGTGGAGGATGCTCGGAAGAAAGGAAGTGCAAGAAAATTGAAATTTATTCACCAATTTCGTGTAATTATATACCTGGGCGTGAGTGCGAATGCGATGAATCCGATCATGTGGAGGTGTCTGTAGTCGTGCGTAATCTGCTGGACGCTCTCGTCGAACCAGTGCGAGTCGACCTTCGATTCGATCTTTTCGATGATCGTCGTGAAGTCGTCCCACTCGATGTTGTCGGGCGTCTTCACGAGAATATGCGGTGTGTAGTCCCAGTACGAATTGTACATTTTATAGCGATTCGCCTCGCGCACCGTCGGTTTCAGCGTGTAGAACGGGCGGTTCTCGGCGCGTCCCACCTGGTACAGATAGCCGCGACCGTCCGGAGTCGCCACGAAGCGCTCCATGAAGAACTTCCCGTGGCATTCCTGCAAATCTCGACTATTGTGATCTACCTTCGTGATCTCCCCCCGCGTTGTTTTATATTTTAATTGTCATCATTCGGGTCGCCCTCCTTCTGAGGACGAACCCTCAATTCATTATATATCTGCCAGCCCCGCTTAGGTTTCTCTGCTCGGAATAAACCTCTTGCGGAAGCACTCTTGTCTGAGCCGACTCTTCTCTACCAACGCGGTAGAAGACGTTACAAATACAACATCGACAAAAACCTCTGACTGAAAAAATCATATCTTCCCACTTTTCCGAGCCAAAAGCCTTTTTGAAAAGTGGTCGCTTACATCCATATAGGCCAAAAGAGTGTACTGCGTGACGTCATTCTCATCCGTACAATTCGCCTTTTTCGCCCAGCACAATTGTCCCGAATACAGTGAATGACCGGGTTCAAGGGTGAAAATCTTGCCTGAAACTTTCAAAAGATGCACTAAAAGTCAACAATATTCGGACCGTTCGGATAGACGGCGTCGGGGCCCACACCCATTTTGGTCTCCAATCCGGCGGTCACAAAATTGACGATGCGCTTGTGTTTCTCCTCGCCCTCGAACATGTAGTAGGCGTTTTTCTCGTTCAGCAGCACTTTTATGGGCTTTCCCTTGAAATCGACCCACGCATAGTTGTCCTTGGTCAGGTAGGAGCCGTTGAACGGCATCGACTTGTACGAGATCGGCGGCGGCGGATGGTGGTGCTTCTCCAGGTACGCCTTGTCCTGGAAACGGACCAAATTTGGAAAACGAAGCTGAATGGAAACGTTTTCAGACAAAAGCAGTGTCGGAAAGCGTTCAAACATCAAAAATGACTGAAATTCGAGCATTTTCAACACAAAGCTCGAAAATCGATTCAACTTTCAAGAATTTTAGTCACTTCTTGCGCAATTTACTATTGAAACGCTCAAAATGCCCATCTATCCGTGAAAACCATCCGGGTCGGTTCTATCTGCAAACGATCCGTTTATCGATATCTAACACTAGAAAAATCACTAAAAATCTCGACGTTTTGCAGTTTTTGCACTATTCGGAAATTAAAACCGACCACTTCGATCGTGAATCGCCACAAATTCTTCGCCTGCTGATTCGGTTTTCCCACTTTGGCGAACCATTTTTCCGGGAACGCCGACGTCCATTTTCGGTTTTTCTGCTTCGGATCCACGCACTTTCCGATCAAATAAATGTACTTGTCCGTCCAAATAAGGGTTCCGTGGTCCGAAACATAAAAGTTTTTGACGGGCTGAGAGAAAAAAAGGTGGTAATTTGGTTATTCTCTTTGTTTTTTTACATCGGTCGGCTCGAATTTGATCATAATCTTCGTCGGCTCCTCAATTATTTCCGTTTCGCTTTTCGGCTGAACGCTAAAGTTTCGGGCGGCTCCGCAACCGAAAAACTCTCCGTTTATGCCTTGAAACACGGTGTGGAACTGGCTGGATCCCATTGCCGCCAACTGAAAAATTTTTGAAATTGCAATGACGTTGATGATAATTTTAATTTTTTACCGTGGTCGGCAGCTTCAATTCGACGGGTTTATCGGACGGAATAAACTTGTCCTTCACGCCCAAAAGTCGGTTTTTGTTGTCGCCGAACACGAACACTTGTCCTTGATCCCCTGAAACTCATTCGTTCGCAAATTGTCTGAATTCCGGGCACTCACACATCGTGTACCGGAAGCGAATTTGGCGATTCAGGTCGAAAAGAGTGTGCGAAATGGGAAAATCGCAGAAGAAATCGTCGAGGTGGCGGGTGAGCAGGACGGTGCACATGTCCGCGCGGCACCCCAACTGCAACGTTTATTTATTTTTTATTTTGAAGGGGTTTAGATCAAGTTTCAGTATGGGAGCATGATTTGTGATGAGTCAACAAAAAACGCTGAAAAAAAGTTTGATGAAAATGCTGACCCTCCAGGCGATGGCCAATTTTTTGTACCGACTGGACTGTTTTATGTAATCGGCGAGAGTCTCCGCACATTCGTAAGCATCCTTATCTCGGCCGAGTCCTGAAAATCTCAAAAACTTAGTAAAACAATGTTTTATTTCATCTTAAAACTAACGAATGCACTCGAGAATGCACTGTTCGTACACGTCGACACTTTCGACCGGATTCGTCTCCAGAATCGATCGGAAATAATGAATTCGCTCTTCGAGAATCCCCTGCAGCTGCGCGTTCTCCGCGTTATCGATGTTCGCGAAGTAATGCACGCAGCTTTGTTCTAAAAAATATTTATGTTCGAATGTTTTTTCCGGCAAAAACTGACCGTGCGCATTTCCGCCGTCGTCGCTGACTGCTTGAGTCGACATTGCTGAACGAATTTTCGATTATCTCCAGAGTTTTTTGTGAATTTTAGCGAAAATATTACAAATGCAACAAAGCAATTAATTTTAACGTGTTTTTAAAGCGCTAAATTAATTTCCAAGCACAAAAGGTCTGGAAATGACTGAAATACAGGATTTCCGATTACATTTTTCCGACAAATGCTTGAAATTCAATAAAATCTACCAAAACATGCAAAAATCGGCTTTTCGTGCGATTTCCGCGCCGAAAATGGATCGACGCCTGCGAGTGTGGCCTAGAAGTTTCCGGAGTCCGAGCTTTTGCAGAAACTCTTCCACGTTCAGAATTTATGGCCCCGACGGCTCCGAGGAGCTCCGAAGGCCGCTAAAAAAACAGCAATCCGATTGAAACACATTCATTTCCTACAAAAACCACGATTCCCGCCTGAATACCCTTTAAAAGCGACATAATTACTCGATTACCTCCTTTGTCCATATTCATTCAATTTTCACTCAATTGGACCCACTTAAATACTTGGTTCGAGCACTAGACCCACTAATGACCAGATTTCAGGGTCCATAAGGCTGTGTGCTGAAATCTGGGAGTTTATGTAAGAGAAGGGCTCTTAGAGCCTTGACTATCTTTTGCCCACCCGCATACCCCACTGGTTTAGTCTCCCCCTAAAAATTTTGTTAGAATGTGTTCCCCTATTATTGGGGCACCGGAGAGAAAGGGCGCGCTGTTCGCAATCTGGCCGAATTTCTAGGCCACGAAGAAATTTTCTACTGAAAACGTGGCCTAACTTTTCAAACTCGGCCCCGAGGTCGCTAAATTTGCACTGCAAAAAAAGGGGTTCTCGACAGAGCGCCATTTCTGTGCGGTGCCCCTATAATACTCTATATGAGTACGCTCCCAATTTTTTTTTCAAAATTTTCGGTACATCCCGAGTTACACCCATTCAAAGTTAGCCTGTTTTCTCCCCGGTCGAGGAGGTGGCGGAGTCTCGCTGGCAGGCGATTCTTGTTGCTGTTTGGTGGATGACATCATTCTGCTCAAATATCGGCTCGAATTTGTACAAGCTACAAACAAAAATCAGTCGTTTCTCTTTTTTTTGAATTCTGGATGAATTTTCTCTGTTTTTAATTGGCGCTTGGGCTGGAGATCACAATTGAAACAGAGCGCATTCACTTTTCAAGAACCCCAATAGTAGAGCTTCCATGTCATCAAAATTACTTTTATTTCTAATAAAGTATCTATGACACATCAATGTGTATCGTGCTTTCATTTGAACCAGCTAGAATTCCGAAATCCCAAGCGAGCGGGGCCCCTACGGGGTTCTCTCGGGTAATTACCACTGTTGCGCCCCAGGCTCGCCAATGAAAAGGTTGACAAGTACGAGAAGGGGTTCAGCTACCTGAAAAAGTGTGGAAAGACCCTCAAGAAGGTAAGGGCCTCAATGGATAAATAAGGGCCTCAATGGATAAATAAGGGCCTCAATGGATAAATAAGGGCCTCAATGGATAAATAAGGGCCTAAATGGATAAACAAGGGCCTCAATGGATAAATAAGGGCCTCAATGGATAAACAAGGGCCTAAATGGATAAATAAGGGCCTAAATGGATAAATAAGGGCCTAAATGGATAAATAAGGGCCTCAATGGCCAAGATAACACCTGCATATGGAGAAAACGGCAAAAAGAACAAAATTATTTATAAATTGAGATGAGAAAGGCAAAAGCTTACAACATCCAGGATTCCCAGGCCGTCTCCGATCCAAGTACTAACTGGACTCAACGTTGCTTAACTTGCCAGATCGGACGGGATGGCGTGTCACAGGTGAAACGCGGTTGATCAATTATACAATTGAGCCAATTGTAGACAAATTATCAACAAATCGCGAACGGGATGAGAAGCAGATTGGCGCACAACACAGTGTATAATAAAGAAATCGCGCTTGTTCGCGATTGATGTATAATTAGTGAATTATTGACAAGTTCGCGAACGAGGGTGCACAATCGACAAATCGGCGAACGGGCTGGTCACTCTGAGTTTCACTTTTGAATTCAAATATTTGTGATTTTTTCATATTTTCGTTGGTTTTTATTGCAATTTCGCATGCTTTTTTGTAATTAAACCAAAGTAGAGCATACAGGTTTCGCATTTCAATTCGTTATGGTTCATTGCCACGACTAATACTTCCAGAAACAGACAGCCGCAGGTGAGAAAATGGTTTTTTGATTCAATTGCATCAGAAAAAAGATTTCAGATAATGCGAACGTATTTAGAAAAAGAGAATAACTGGAAGTTATTAATGCCGACCAAGATTTAAAAAAGTGATTCGAGTGTGCCGGGCGCAGAGTTCGAACAGTGTCATGCGGCCTATTCCTCGCAAAAACGAACAACGTGGTCGTTGGACGGTGAGATTCAGAAGGATACATAGAAAATCAATCATTCAATTTCAGTCAATGTTCGTCTTCGAATAGTGTGTGGGAAGAAAACGATGGCGTTTCGAAAAGGAAAGAAAAGATGAACGCATTCAGCATGAGGACGGAGTCGCAGAAGTAATCGCCGACTGTTACGTTATTTTCTACTCAATTCTTTTTTTTCGATTTTTTCTTTCACTTCTTCTTTTGTTTCTAACATTGCATTCTGTTATTTTGTTACTTTTTTCGTTTAATAAAGTTATCTCGTCTCAAGTGCGATTTGTGAAAAATTGGCTTGTTATACAATGGGCGATTTGCGCAGGATTTGTCAATTATACAATGCCCGTTCGCGATTTGTCAGTTATTAATCAACAATTCGCTTCATCGCGTGTACCTGGAGAAAAAATCTGGGATAAATCGCTAACCAATTCCACACTTTTCGCGATTCACCTGTGGTATTCAACGTGATGTGGTCGTAAGCGAAATTGTCCCTGTGCCGTTGCCATCATATTCTCGCAGCCACCGCCTCTGTTTCCACCTCGTCTCCTTCGAAAAATCGCTTGGCGGCGGCCGCACTAAATGTTGTGTGCTGTGGTGAGGCCTCGCTCTCGCCGTCCCTCGGACATGTCGGCTGCGCGCATTGTTGAAGAGCGGCGACGCAGCGTTAGCGTCGGTTTAATTACCCAAGTTTGAGGTACGCCCGACTTGACATGACCTAAAGAAATTTAGCGTCAGCTTTCTAATTTTGGAAAGTCTCCTTTAGGGGAGACAAAAGAAATAACACTTGAATTAATAAGATGCGTGTTAATGCAGTTATGCTCAGCGCAAGAAATAATGACAATTCAGCAGTGGGCTGATTGTCATCATTTAGTCGTATCTGAGTCAAAACGGCCTCTCTTAGACCATAATATTTTGGCGCCCGCATTTGGGCCTCAATGGATAAACAAGGGCCTCAATGGATAAACAAGGGCCTCAATCGATAAATAAGGGCCTCAACGGATAAATAAGGGCCTCAATGGATAAATAAGGGCCTCAATCGATAAATCAGACTTGCCAGATTACGGGCCGGCCCGGCCCGGTCGGCCCTGCTCAAAAGGCGCGAATTCAAATTTTTGGGGGAAATCTATTTTTTAGTTTTTTTTGCGGGGATCAAAATTAAGACTTTTGCTTTGATACCAATAAAAACTATTTTTGAGAACTACATTTCTTTTTTATGCTCGATACTTGCAAAATTCGTTAGTTCTACGAAAAACAAACATTTTATTTAATCAATAGTTCAAAATTTGGATTCCCGCTTTTTGAACCGGGCCGGAGTTTTGAAAATTTTGGCCCGGCCCGGCCCGGCCCGTGGCAACTATGCCGTATTTACCGATTGAGGCCCTTGTTTATCCATTTAGGCCCTTGTTTATCCATTGAGGCCCAAATGCGGGCGCCAAAATACTATGGTCTAAGAGAGGCCGTTTTGACTCAGATACGACTAAATGATGATAATCAGCCCACTGCTGAATTGTCAATATTTCTTGCGCTGAGCACAAACTCCGGCCACAGTGGCTCTCAGACTAACTTCCATTTTCGTTGTCTTCTTTTTTTGAGAAAACTGTGCGTTTTCATGGAAAACGGAGCTGCTCATTTGATTCAGCATGGCCGATTACATAAAGTAAACCTTTTTGAATATGGTACTTGGTTTGGGGACCTCGGTACAGGCCCTCAAACATGCGCGGGCGCGACCGGGGAGAAAATTCGGCAGGCCACGCCCCCTTTGTTGCGCCCCCTACTGTATTAGGTTCCAATTTACTTTTGAATTTCCATCCAAAACGAATCGTTCATCTGCTGAAGTCGGGTGGCGCCGTCAGCGGCCTTCGAAATGATTTGTCTTTGGCGGCAGATACATAGTTCCGAACGATGCTTTTCGTGTGAGAGTTGGAAGCGACCAAATGTCATCAGTGATGTGAAATCCGCATTTCAACAGATCTGCAAAACATTTTCATGGCATTATACAATTTTGAATACTTACTGGCCATCGATCCGAAAAACTCTTCTTCGATTTTCGGATATTTCGTTGATCTTGTCGAATCAGCTGCCAAGTAAATTGGGAACCATGGGCGTCTCTTAGAAATCTGAAGGTTTCATGTGTCTCGGAACAAAAAATTCGCATCGGTACCTCGTGAAAAAACTAAATTTGCTCGCACGGAAGGAAAACCTCGTTGGTTTGCTGACTGCCGCTCGTTTCGCCCGTGTTCTTTTCCGTTTTGCTAATTCTGAACATGATAGCAACGCTTGTTAGCACAGAGTCTTCAAATGCCGTTCCAGAGATATCAGGATGTTGTGAGATCTGAAGAGCCTCGAGGAAATCGAGGTCTTTTTTTCGATTTGAAAGCAGCAGAGTGCTGATGGAATCCAACGGCCATTCTCAGAGGACTTCTTCTTTTTCTCAGGGATTCTGTTCACTTCCGGCGCGTTTTCGTCGTTTTTCTTCCGAATTGCCTCGCTTTTCCGAAGCTTTCAGCGTCTGGAAAGAACAGATTAGTCGCTACATTCTGTTTAAACTGAACCTTTTCATTCTTGTTCAATTCGCGCGCTCGTTTTTCGTCGAAACGTTCTGGTTTCCGATTGCGGAGACAGTCGCTGGAGGATGTCTTCTCTTCACAGTACGATGCATTTTTTTGCGACAGCGATCAATTCACAAAATGTTTCTGAAATTTAGAATTAAGACGGAAAACGAAGGGAAAACGCAGTCGAAACAGTCGGAAAGACGGACGGGATAAATTGTTTCGAAACTTGTTTCGAAAATGGTCGAGCGATGCTTGAAGGGTGGCCGAGCAGTTGGCCGCCAGTGGGTGTCCGATGGCCGAATGAAACATATAGTTTTCGAGGTGCCGATCTTCTCGAACAGAGTACACTTAATGATGAGCGAATCCTCCATTAACTTGGACATAGTACGCAGTTTCTCCGTCCCTTTCCTTTGATATTTCCAACTGCAATAACTTCTCTTTCTCCCGACAATCTCTTCCGTGAATCATTCCGGAGAATCGCTTCAATTGCGAGAGAACATTCCAAGAGTACGTATTGCCTGGCCGATTCATGCTCGCAAAATCGTTGGTAAGAATGGGAAAAAAAAAATCTTCGTCTGTTACTAAATGGCCTTTTCGAACAATATGCCGACCTGAATCATGCAAATTTTTGTCAGGATCGCTAGTATAGAAAACACTCCTCGGACATCTTTTAGGCGTAGCGCCTTTTCGAGCGCTACGGCTGAAGGGTTAGCCATCCGTTAGCCATTCTTCGGGCATACCGCTCGCTCGGCCATGTTTCGGACATCGCGGTTTACCTGTGTATTCAACGTGATGTGGTCGTAAGCGAAATGATCATCCCTGTGCCGTCGCCAAATTTGAATGAACAAGGTGTAGGTGAATAACAAAAATCAGTCGGTAGTGAGGACGCAGAGAAACGAAACGGTATTTATATGTATACACACATCTCACAAAGTTAAATGTCTTTCATTTTCTCTAGGTAAAGTCACGTAGATCGAAATGTAACAGTTGTGTGTGTGTGCAAGCAGTTTTGGCGGGTTGGGAGAGCTCAAAAGTGCAGAACACTTACAGTTCAATCAATGAAACAGTTCGGTTTATTATGCAACTTTAAAAAAAAAAAGAGGTAGAGATGTAAGAAAAAATTGTGTTCACTTCACAGCGTTGTCTGTTCTAGTGTGTCGGTTTGTTTCCAAATGAGAAAGTTCCTTCGCCAGCTCCAACCGTCTTCCCATTCACAATTATCTTTCTCCCTTTCCAGTCAACATTAGATTTTGATCCATGAATACTTTCAACTTTCATCGGCTTGGCTTCTTCCATCTTCGCATTGTGTCTCTCGTTCAAATCGACCAGATCAGTGTCGTGTTTGTCTCCTTCTTTGATAGTAGCCAGTCTTGCTCCGACTGTTTGCGTTCCGATGACCTTCTGCTTGGAAGACAGTGGTTTTCCGATTTGGTCACCGGAGACTGTCTCTACTCCCAGAACACTTCCGACTCCAGAATGCGAAAATCCGTTTCTCTTGGCTCTCAACTGAGTCGGGTTGAACATGAGAATTTGCGTGACAACTGTTGCATTTGTGCCGGTGATTGGTTTCTTGCCCCCATCAACCAAAGACCATCCTTTTGGAAGGTTCACACCTTCCACTGCCGTTTTTCCCTGCAAAAATCTGTTATTTTATCTTACTGTAATCGTTTCTTCTCACCTCCACTGATTTTTCAGTCTTACCGCCGTTTTTCTTCACGGCTTCTTCAAAGCCTTTTGGGAGAGGAACTTTATCACATTCGGGCTGCCCCAAGATTCCGCAAGTCTTGAAAATTCAATTCTGTTTGGTTTATGAGTACGGCGCACGGCGACCAAAAACGTAGAAAGGGGCGTGGCCTAGCGTGCACAGTTTATCACCATTTTGCCGCGAAATTCGAAATTTAACCCCATTTTTCATGTTTTTCATCAAAAATAACCCAAATTTTGTACTATTTTGACGATGTAATTGCTTAACTTTGTTAAACTAATCATCGCGCACTTTTTGAGCTTAAAACGAGCAGGTTTCATTCAGAAATGAATCAATTGAATCGATTTTCAAGTTTTGTGCTGAAATGCGCGAATTTCGGTCATTCGCCGACACTTTTTGCCGTTTGAACGCTTAAAATATTTGTATTAACGTGCTTAATCACTTCCGACACTCACTTCGTCTCAAAACTATCCAGATCGGCCGCTATGAAAATTCCGAAATTGCGGCGGCGATTGGCCGCGGAGAGCGTATTGCGAAATATGCCAAAAACGTCTCAAACGCGGCGTTTTCACGAAAATTTCGATGTTTTCTCTCTTTAATGTCTCTTCTTTCGTCGATATCAAACACACAAAAAAATCGGAAAAGTGCTGGAATTGCGGCAATTTTCAGAAAACGAGTCTCAGATTAGACCACGCCCCTTTCTACACTTTTGGTCGCCGTGTATACGGGAAACGTACAGTCTCTTTATAGAAAACAGAGGTGCCCAGAGACAAGCACTGATATTTGATGTTCTCCACTACGACTGACTCTCCCAGTTTCATTTCAGTTCCATCCTTTCTTTTACATCCTTCCATTGTGTACACTCCATACTTCTGACACTTGTATCTCAGATTTCCAAGCTCAAAAGTCTCTTCTGGTTTGTAAGTCTTGCCGTTTTTTTTGCATTCCTAGACATCATAATTAGAAAAATTCGTAAAAATTCGGAAACAAACTTTAGGAAGCATTTCAAGTGCCGCTATGATTCCAGCAGAGTTGTTTAATTGAAGTTCATGAAGTTGGGAAGTTACCGTTTTCGTAGAATCCAGCGAAAGAGTGGAGGCGGCTAAAGTAACTACCAAAAAAATAGGAATCATTTCTGAAATATTATCGTGCATTAGAAAGTTAAAACTGGGAGAAAAATGACTATTGAGACTGTCAAAAGACTGACAGAAGTATCTCAACGATCTTATATGGCAAAATAACTCGTTTTGTTTTGTTTTCACTATGATTTAGAAAACCACACCTGCCCATCAATCATGTTCAGCCTTGAAAAATGTTGAAATGGTGAAACTTTACGTCAACAAAGTTTTTCATACTCTTTATAATACTTTGAAGTGAAAGCACTATTTTTAAAAAGGCAAACGCGTTTTTTTATTAGAAAAGATTGTACAAAAAACATTTTTTATACACTTTACTCACGAACATAAATCAACGACAGAAGGTTGTCTCTCTTTCTTTCAGTGGTCAAGACGATTCAAGCAGAAGAATTTACACGTATTATCGAATGTAGAACCGTATCGTTAGGTTGGACATTTTGAAAAAGTCAAACAAGATACTTAACAGAAAATGATTGAATGAACTGTATCAAGCCCTTTGTCTTCATGAAACGAATCGCCTTCTGTGAACCAAAATCGGGTCATGAGAAATCTGAAAAGTATTAAAGTCAGATAAAAAATATTGATGTTTTTTGGTACATTGCAGAGTTGAGCGGAAGAACTCAACGGAAGAACACGGAAGAATTTTTATATTTTTTAGAAAATGTTTTCATGAAATGTGATCAACTGACAAAATGTATAGCAAAGTGAACTCTGCTCATAAAAAAATAATTGTAAAGTTAGCTTTTCATACAAAAAAAGTTATTCGCGTTGTTCCGTGAAAAAAAGACTTTAAAAAAAGACGAATAACTTTTTTGTATGAAAAGTTAAATTCACAATTATTTTTCTATGAGCAGAGTTCACTTTTCTATACATTTCGTCAGTTGATCACATTCCATGAAAACATTTTCTAAAAAAGATAAAAATTCTTCCGCTCAACTCTGGTACATTGCCGAAAAGAGATGTGATTGTTTGCGTCACGACAATTAAAGAAAAAGATAGATAGACTTACTCTGTTCCTGACATTGGGCGGTGGTCCTGCTGGCTCCTCGTCAGCTAGTTCAGGTTCACTTCCGATTTCGATCGGAATGAATTCTTTAAAATCTTCGTCCGTATTCACATTATTCGACTCGGTAGCTTCAATGAATTTATCCACTGTCTTTTCGTTTGTGTCTTAATCTCACTGTTTTTTTTCCATAATCATACAAGGACACCTCACATTTTGCCACTTGAGAAGATTTCCATTCCACCATTCCGAAGTTAACTCGAGACTTGTGTGGTTTGATCTTGAACACTCTAATACGGTTTTGTCTCTGTTTCTCATTTCTCTCAATTGCTTTTTGTGCATTGAACTTGTACTTTTCGGCCGCTAGTTCATCTTCCAGTTGACTAAGTGCCCGATTTTCGTACTCTACGGCACTGACCGGGCGCAGTTCTATTTAAAAAAAAAGAAATAATTTTCAAAAACAAAACTGACGAAAACCTGATAAGTATGCAACTTGATTTGTCGAGTAAACATGGCTATCATGCTGTAATTGTTCTTGACTAGTGGGAGATGCTGCAGGCGGTCCTCGATAAGCCGAAGTACTTGTGATGATCGGTACATGACTAATGTAGTTCTCAGCTGAAAAAAAAATAGAATGAAGTAAAAGAGAAATAGAAAACATACTGCTAGGATTTGAATATGTTTGATACTGAGAAACACTCTGAAAAGCTGACGGTGTGATATACTGATAACTATTTTGAGGTGCGTTATATGTACTCGAAAGTTTTTGATTCGAGCAATTGGTGATGCATCTGCAAAAGTTACAACCAGAATTTCCTGAAAAATGAAAATGCGCTGAAAACTTTCAGGTGGTATGTAGCTTACCGAAAAGAGTCCACAGGAACGAGGAACAAGATGACATCAGAAACAGAAAAATCGAAAAGCGCATTTCTGAGGTTTCTGAGGTACGTGAATGTCAATCAGTTTGAATGAAGTCACGACGAAGAAGCATAGTATTCAGATGTTATCTGCACAAGCGAATTTTACAAAATTGGAGGCTATAATATTGAGAAAAAATAGCTTTCGGTAGCGAGAGACGTAAAGCAAAAAGCAAAAGAAGTTTCTCGGGAGTTACACTGGATTACTACTTCTACCAGAGGCGTTTCTGAATGCAAGATACAACAATTCGACGGTATCATTATCGAAACGATGGAAACGGAGGAGAAACTTGTGTGGAATACAATTATAGATTGCTTACACTTCTTCTGTGACCACCACAATAATTGAACTATACGTGTACGGATTTCACCCTCGGAAATGTTGCCAGCCATGGGCTTTTTGAGAGTGAAAGTGCGAAGATTTGTATCTTTCGAATCCCTGCCACTAATGACCTTGTCATAGAACGTGAAAATGGGAAAGATTAGAAAAAGCTTCTGGAATGAAGGAAAATTTAAAAAAAACAGTGTTTTTTTGACTGAAAAATGTCTAATTACGGCTAATAATTGTTACCATCTTGTAGAACTTCTCTACATTCATTCCTAGGAGAAATAATCCCCGAATCATTCAGAAAAGAAGCGCAAGGAAATGAAAAGAAAAGGACATCGAAGAAAGTAAAATCCGAGAAAGACCGTAAAGGGAAAGTGTTCGGGGTGACTGCATTATGAAGACGTAGGTTCAAATTCGACCTCATCCCCCTTAGCTTTTGTTATGCCACCGCTTTGGTCGTTTTAACGGTCATTTGACTACACTCGATGATGGCCGTCTTGTTCCTACTGCGTGCTTCTTCATATCTGACCGGATCGCGTCCCTCTCTTGTTCTCTTCATTTTCCCGAGTACCTTCAAGAAATAGATCGGCGTCTGACGAATGTGGGTGACTTCCTCGAAGATATGTAAATTTTGCGACTAGTGACCGGTGAAAGTGTACACGGTTTGGATTAGCTTTATACAGTCATGTAAATGAAATCTGAACTTGTTCTGCCGATCTCACTTCAGCGACGGCGGCCACCCGATCCTTCGTGAGTTCACGAATAGGGCTTGAACATTTGCCGTCTGACTGGAGGGAGAAGAACGATTGGACCAGTTGCGAAGGTGATCGAGACCATGAAACGGACTGCTTGAACGCCAGTTAAATAACGGAAGATTATCCGGTAATCTCCAGTGAAGCTTGGGAATAAAGACGGTTAGTAAAAAAGTTGGAATTCCACCTCAAAACATTTTTCCAACTTTCTTTTTAGTCTTGAAACGCTTACAAAGTTGATATAAGAGTTGAAGTGAGAAAAACCACAAATATGTGAAATAGTTATCGTCGTTTTCTTTCCTTCTCTCGAAACAAGGACAGGTACTGAGTACCTTTTTTTTAAACAATTGGTTTGTTTATATATTTACAGGGCACAAGACACAACGACGATAACTATTGCCTACAGAGTAATGAAGCGGCAGGTACATTGCAAAACTTGCCGAAAATGAAACTGCATAGATACTGCGAGACGGAATTCGTAGATTGACGAACAGAGTGGAAATAATGAGTGCAAACATATTGAGGGAAAGTAGTTTCCTTCTGTAAGTGTCCAAGTAAGCGAATTCACAGGGTTCCGAAAACTACGTGACTGGATTGATTTAATTTTGACCCTTTGATGTATCGGCTAGTTTTTTGAATTTCTACAATACCTTATTTTCGCAGTGACTTCAAAGCTAACTGATCTGTGTTTAGTTACAAGTAGGGAGAAATACGTGAGCATTTGAAGGTGTGCCAAGCTCTCAATGCATACTGTAGAGTAGTCTCAACTCGTAGAACGGCGCAGAGATTGGACAGGTTATAATCACGGAAAACAAGAACGCAAATTATGAAATAAAATTAGATCTTACACAGATTTTTCACGTAATGTCTTGTAGGTGACATGAAACTTTCCATTCTCCTGTATAAAAGCGAAAGGTGCGCCCGAAAAATTACTTCCAAGAGAACAAAGTAGCACCGATCTGGAATTGAATCATAAAATTTGTCGGCGAACGTCTTTCTTACAGTTCCCAACCACATTGTACTCAAAATCTTCGAATCGCTCACATATGTCAATCATCTATAAAGTTTTGGTGAGCGTTTTGTTGCCATGGAGACGATCAGGCAGGTTGATTGAAATTGGTTGAACCGAACCGAAAGAATGTGAGCGAATCGTATTAAATATTCAAAATTTCATCATTATACACAGGACTCAGGAAAAAAGCCCCAATTCGGCTCCAAAACTTTTTTCCTCAGGAGAAGAATCAAGAATATTGAGAGAATGTGTTATTTCAAATTCCTTGTGCTCCAAAAGTATCGATCCCGAGAACAGTTTCATTCTTTTGGTGAAGCTCTTCTTCTTCTTGGCTATCTCCGGTTTTCTTAAAATGTTCGAGAACAACAAGGTCTTCATCGTCAAGCTGAGCAGGACTTAAATTGTTTTTCAAATAAACACTTTACTACGAACGCGTTCGGTCGAGTTCATGTGCTTGTCAACTCTTTTCGTCACATAATCGTTGGCATCAAGTTCTAGACCCTTGTCAAACGTTTCCAAGTCTGTCTTTCCAAGTGTTTCTGTATCTTCAATTGACGAGTTGAACGCCTGAAAATAAAGCGTTAAAATTAAAACAATTTTTAAGAACCATGCGGCATGATTCTTAAAAGGTCCATGCCTTTTTATTAACTTCCTCAAGTTCCGATTTTTCGTTGTATGCAGGGCTGGGCAATTGGCCGGCCCGGGCTTTTCGTTGGCCGACCATTGACCTGGACTTTTGAACCACTTGCAATATTCCGATCGGACCCAAACTTTGCAGGCTTCTTTGTCTTGGATTGAGGGCCATTGGGACCAAGTTTCAGCCCTATCGGATCGTCGGATCCTGAGATATGTGGATCATTGGCCGATTTTTTCCAAAAAGCCCGGGCTTCCGGCCAATTTCGGCCAATGATCCACATATCTCGGGACCGAATGATCCGATCGAGCTGAAACTTGGTCCCAGTATGCGTCAACCCATGTCCAAGAAGCCTGCAAAATTTGGGTCCGATCGGAATATTGCAAGTGGTTCAAAAGTCCAGGTCAATGGTCGGCCAACGAAAAGCCCGGGCCGGCCAATTGCCCAGCCCTGGTTGTATGTCATTTCTTCTGAAGAGGACGACTTTGACGAAGAGACAGATTCAGATTCCGAAGACTGCGTCGCACGTCCAGAAACCTCGTTCAGAACGAGCAGAAAGAAGGAGACGTATAGGAAATTCATCACTGCAGACTGAATAAGTGGAGTGAGTAATATCTATCAAAATAAAAAACAGAAGGATTGAACTTCTATCATAGAAGGCAATTATGTCGGAATGATGACCGGTTCTACACTCTCTGTATGTAGATATTGTACTTTTGAATGAGATTTTCCTATTCTCTTGGTGGTTTTGCTATCCCAAGTTCTGACTAGATAATTTATCAATATCAATACAGTCAAGCGAATAAGGAAATATCCCGGAATCAACACAAAAATTTCTGAACAAAAAATGTTACGAAATCAAAGAGACTTGTCAATTCAAAAATTCCCTGTAGATGCAATCTGTACCCATTTAAATAGGTTACCAGAATGAGGGATAATCTGCCGTGTAAACTATTTCATGAGGTTGTTGAACGTACATGAATTTCGGGTCATAGTATTACTGCCAGTTTGCATGCAGTTTTCATTGTTTTTAGTTGGAGCAGCCTTGCTCGTGAACCATGTCCCAGAAGCTGTTGAAATAGGTAATAACGGTTGGAAAACATTCCTTTTTTTCAAGCTTTAATTTTAGTGGAGGACTATGATGGATCCGGTGATTATGTGTACTTGGAGGAGTCAGGATTGAAACAAGCACAAAACTCTACTTTTGATGGCAGTGCGGAAGAGGTCACAATTATTCAAACCGAGTTGCCAGGAAGTGGATTAGGAGAGCAGCCTATTCCAACAACTTCAAATGATGGAGCTGCACTTGTTGAATTTGTTACAGGAACTCTGGAAGGATCAACGATGCCTCCTAAAGATCCGGTTGGAATGGCGGATGGTCTGACTGATGAGCCTGAAGCAGTCGATATGACCGGGCCAACAACTCCTTTTGATATCAGCTTAATGGAAACTGGATCACCAGAAGGGTCTACAAAAGAGCCGTACATGCCAAAGCCAAAGCCGAAACCAAATAAGGACAACAATGGAACTCTGACAGACTCAAGTGATTCTCCTCTAGTCACTTTGGATGTTGATGTCGTCACTGACTATCCAGAAAACGCAAGTGAGATGCCGGCGGTTGAGAGCATTGCTCCAGTTCATTGGAAAACTACAACAACAAACAGAATTGACTACACCATCAGTCAGAAGATTGATGAGAACAGTGCGGGATACGAGAAATTGCTACACATGCTGGAAGATTTGAACGTAAGAAGAAAAGAGGACACTACTGGCAGCAATCAGACACAATTCTACATTTCTCGAGCGTCAGTAGCGATGGACACAATCGAAAACGTACTGATAGTCTTTCAAAGGTCGGCGATAAAATATTTTGCAGACTTACACAAATTCAGCGCTGGCAAACATTACATATGCTCAGGAATATATCAAAGGATTGCTGAAGGACGCTTCCGATACTGTAATCTTCAGGCTCCTCCATTTTGTTGTCCACTTTTATCTTTTCAGGTTCGGCAAGGATACACTCAGATTGTGTCGTTGACCAACACTCCGAGTTTCTACTACATTCCGAAAAAACAACGGTATTTAATGGTAAATGAAATCATTGCTGGTCTAGGAGCTTCGGGACAGGAAGAGATTATGTCTCTGAATAAACAGGCGAAGACGTATTGTCAAAATTCCAACGTCGATACACCGCCTTACAGTTTTGGAAATATACTTGGAAACAAGTTGGCAAACGGTGCGATCCTCACTAAATAAAGAAATAACTAAAAGAAAAGAGAACAGGGAAAAGACTGGAACAAAACAGAAAATGAAATACAAGAAAATAGGGGCGGGGCCTATTGGGTTTCATTGAACAACGGTTTGTCCTTGCTGTCGTACGTCCTTTTCGTTAACATTTTTTCCTGAAAATCGAGTAGTTTTCTTTATGAAATACTGTAATATTTCGAATATTTCTATGTCAGAGAATGGCGGATTCCGACGAGTTTTGCGTTATTGCAAAATCCGTGGCAGAAAGTCAGAAATTTGGTGTGGCAACAATTAAAAAAACCAGATAATCAAGCACATTAGAGAGCCCACTTGGTTCAATAAGTTTCATCACCGCCTCATTTTCCTTCTCCGGATCCATGAAAAACTGCCGTTTCCACTGTTCGTCAGTGCGCAAAAGGCGGCAGAACGACGGATCGAACTGAGACTTTGTGATGCGGTCCTCGATCACCTGCTTCTCCGGCCAGTACTCGGTGATTCTGACGGGGAAAATGTGAAAATCGGCGGGATTTTCCAGTGAGTTACCTGGCCATATGAATAATTTTGGGCTCCGGGTAGAAGTCGTCCTTCCAATTGAGCACAATCGTCGGCCGAAGCACTCCGATGTGCCGTTCTATAATAATCTGATAATCGGTGATCAACGAGCGAATGTGGTGCGAATCTGCTTCTGTCACTGCAAAAATACACTAATTTTAGGGACATGCTTTTAAAGAAACGTACTAAGGGCGGTCTAATTCATCTTAAAGCTAACGAATACACTCGAGAATGCACTGTTCGTACACTTCGGCACTTTCGACCGGATTCGTCTCCAGAATCGATCGGAAATAATGAATTCGCTCTTCGAGAATCCTCTGAAGCCGCTCGTTCTCCGCGTTATCGATGTTCCGCGTTATCGATGTTCGTCCTTCTCCGCGTTATCGATCTTCGCGCAGTAATGCACGCATCTTCGTTCTAAAAAAATTAGATACATTTTTTCGCATTTTTTCCGGCAAAAACTGACCGTGCGCATTTCCGCCGTCGTCGCTGACTGCTTGAGTTGCGAGTGTGGCCTAGAAAATTCCGGTGGCCGAACTATTGCAGAAACTCTTCCACCGTGCGAATTGATGGCACGGTCTCCTGCACGAGAAAAGCGCAAGCAAGTACGCGTGCTCTCTGCGTCGCCGGCAGCATTCTCCTTGTCTCGCACTCTCTCGCTTGCCTACTGTCGCTCGAGAAGCGAAATGAGAGTTGGCGTGGCGCTCGGAACGCCGCCGGAAGAATACTGATTTACCTTTCCGTTTTTCTTCATGAACGTGTTTATCATGAGCAAAACTTGCAAAGAGCAACAAAAAATTCTGAAAAACATGCCGGCGTCAGTACGAAATTTGCATTTTTCGTGTTGCGGTTGATTATGCGTGCTACAAGTGAGAATCAAAATCATCTTCCGTTATTTCGTGATGAAAACGTTGCCCGAGGGTTTTTCATGACCATATCATCAAAAATTTAACGGAATTAATCGTGTAAGCCACACTGGGAGCACCGATTTCACACTTCGGTGGCCAACGAAGTTTCATCGGAGACTTCAGATGCGTGCTCTCGGAAGAGTACTGATTCATTTTTCCCGCTTTCTACGGGAATATGTTGAATATGATCAGTACTTCGAAGCAGCAACAAGAAACTTGAAAAAATATTCTGGAGTGTCCACGGAAACGTCTTCTGAAAGAGCGACAGTTTTCTGCTGACTTCAGGTGCGTGCTCTCGGAAGAGTACTGATTCATTTTTCCCGCTTTCTACGGGAATATGTTGAATATGATCAGTACTTCGAAGCAGCAACAAGAAACTTGAAAAAATATTCTGGAGTGTCCACGGAAACGTCTTCTGAAAGAGCGACAGTTTTCTGCTGACTTCAGGTGCGTGCTCTCGGAAGAGTACTGATTCATTTTTCCCGCTTTCTACGGGAATATGTTGAATATGATCAGTACTTCGAAGCAGCAACAAGAAACTTGAAAAAATATTCTGGAGTGTCCATGAAAACCGCATTCATAAAAGGGTAATGAAAAAAGGAAGGGAAGATCGGAGCGCTGCAGAGGCACGTCGCCAAATGACCACGTGTTTGCACGACGGGAGAAATGAATGGAAAGAAGGAAAGGGCAGAATACATCGAAATGAGCAGACAATTAATTTCACGCATTACACGAGTCCTTTGTCAAACAACCAGTTTCTGATACAAACTTCGCCAGCCATCAGCCGTGTCCGATTCTCAACGTTACGAACAGGATGGAACGTTTTCTTCAGCGTGTTATATCGTGCATGGAAGTGCTCCATTCCCTGTTCGCTGCACTTGCCCCACGAGTGGTGTCTTCTCAAAAAGGAGATGAGATGGCATCCCAGGACATGCATCTTCGGAATCACTGGTTCTTTGGCGAAGGCTTTTTTCATGTCACCCAGAAACTTCTTCACAGTCGCTTCGATGTCGTCAATCTCCAACTCGGAGTACACCGCCTTGCTCGACAAAGTCATGATTTTTGCCAGTCCGTACAAAGCATTTTTCACAAGTCGGTTTTTTCCATTGTCGGGGAAAATGGTCATGATTTTGTCGATACTTTCTTCACGTAATACCTTTCTGATTTGGTTTCCTGTATGAGCTTCAAACCAGACGTGGGTGTCGCATCCCAATTCCAGCAGAGTTCGTTCATATTGTTTTCGTTTCCTACCAGTTGGTTGAAAGATGCTTCGCTCCAGTACCACTCTTTCGTCGTATAGCGTTTGATACACATTTGATAGTTCAGTTGTGCGTTGTCGCAACGCGTTCCACGCTTTAGCTGCTTTTTGTCGTCGATCATGAAGCGAAAGATGTTGACACTCATCGCAAATATATCTTGAAGTTTCCCTGAACACTTCTTTACTACTGACATACTTTTTTACCTCCTCACCTCGACACTTCTGCTTTTTCATCTGGACTAAATACGGACGTGCAGCAGAAGTGAAAGTCTTTGTTGCAAGCGTCGCACTGTACCCATTCGTCACGGACTTTTTCTTTCGAAAGATGGTTCACAATGCAGACCGACGAGTCACAAATGCGGATCGGCTTCTTCAGGTGGCAAACGGGGCTCTTCATAATGATATTGTATGAAGTTGCAGCGCAGTGTGCTTCATCGGCGGCAGCTGAGTACAACATCAGACTTTCCTCTTCCGCTTTCTCTTTTTTAATCAGTCGTGCCAGTTTCTTTTTCTGTTCTCGCAGAGTGTTGATTTCGACGGATGTCACATCAATCGCATTGCATTGACCAATGAACCATTGTTCAAAATAGTATTCGTAAACTCCGGAAGTCAAGTGCACTGTGGGAAGCTTTGCATCTGCCGGTTCTACGTCACACAGTGGCTCGGAGTTCTGACGGACACTATTACTTCCTGCTTGTGAATCTCTTCGGTACGTTTTGAGTGTTCTCGGATCTGGATGCGCATCAAAGTCCACTTCCTCCAGTGTCACTCGGCTCTGACCACGATAAGACCAAGATAGAGGACAGATGTGGCAAGGACAGGACGCCGATTGCCCTTGGTGTCCGTAAACCGATGAAAGGAACTTTATGTCTCCGATTACATGCTTCCGGACTTTTTTCGTCTGACTGCCGTGTTTTGTACGATACGTGATTGTTTGCATCTTATTGAACATTTCGAACACGTCACTCACTTTCAGCCTCAACTCATCAGCATTGTCAGCCCCTTCGTACACGCAAAGAAGGATGAAACCGTCAGGACTATTCGCATCGGAAGTATTCTCGATTGCTATGCATACTTTGGTTTCTTCTGCTCCCTTGTCTCCAGCCAGACTGCACACAATGTCGTCTGAAAACAGTTTAAACCATGGAATATAACATCAATCTACCTCCGGTGGCTTCATCGAAGATCAGCCTGCCGTTCTCTTCGAGGCGAGTCAGTCTCATACTTAATTCGTTCTCCAAGTTCATCACGAGGAGACGGCCACTTCTCACAGTGGTCATCCGACCGGAAGGTAGAACTGTTTGGTGCTCATCGACGTGGCAAATATAATTGAAAGAACGGTCAAGTTCCTTTCGCAGAGCGGAAACTTCTGGTCTGCTAGCTAAAATGTCGAATCCTAGCTTTTCCACGCCGAACCTCTTAAAGAACTTGAGTGCTCCGTCCGATAGGTGTAGGGAACACCTTAAGATGAATGTTTCTTGAGCACTCAGTTTGAAATGAATCGCGTCGTCCTTACAGGACCTCTTCAAGATACTGCGTATCAGTTCGTTGTAATCTTCGGAAGTAGTGGTCCCAGATTTTAGAAATGCGATGGCGTCCGACACTACTCTCTTCTTTTTGTACTTTGACAAAGCAGTTGTGTAACCTGCGAAAGTGCCAAACTTCTTCTCTTCGTGCTCCACTGCCTTTTCCTCTTTCTTTCCGATAGGAACGTTCTCGTGCGCTTTTGCAGAAGGTTTCAGAGATTCCAGCAATCCTGCTCTTTTCATGTGGTCTATCGACTTCTGCGTTTTTTCCAGTTGTTGAGTTAATTTGAGGACTTCCGCAGATAGATAACAGTTTTTCTGAAAATGTTGCTATTGCGTACAATATACAGTTTCGAAATTCACCTCTTCGCAATCCTTGAGAACTTTACGCGTTTTCACTAACTCCCTATCCTTGACAACGTTCTCGTCACGACAAATTGAATGACGCTGCAAACGTTCTTGATCTAAATGGAAAGCCATTTCTTGTTACCGCTTTCTCTTCTTCCAACTGCTCCGAAATGCGCTCATTTTCTCTTTCCAGACCTCGCATACTGTGGATATGACGTTGGCAAACCTGTTATAACACATCCTTGCGAATGGGATAATGTAGAAAAAACAAAACCTGCTCTTGCTTCGAAAACTTCTGTCGCCATTTGATCGACCCATTTCTCCCTTTTAAGTTTTCGAGCAGGCGTCTCTTTCGCTTCGACGGTGGCATTTTGAAGTTTCCAACAATGTTTAGAAAAGTGAAATGACAACAATTAACTCCGCAAGCATCAGTTCAGTTTAGTCTACAGTAAACTTCAGCTTCAGCAAGTCACGCAAAACGAAGATTTTGACTTTTTCACAGAGTTCAACTTCCATCATGTTTCGATTGCATGTATTCCTATGTGGAAAGCTCCAATCTGCTGAGAAGTGCCTGTTTAAGTTCGGAGGAAGAAGAAATGGCGTATCCTACTGCTTCTGCGTTCTTCTTGTTGAATATGATCAGTTCTTCGAAGCAGCAACAAAAAACTTGAAAAAACATTCTGGAGTGTCCACGGAGACGTCTTCTGAAAGAGCGACAGTTTTCTGCTGACTTCAGATGCGTGCTCTCGGATGAGTACTGATTCATTTTTCCCGCTTTCTACGGGAATATGTTGAATATGATCAGTACTTCGAAGCAGCAACAAGAAACTTGAAAAAATATTCTGGAGTGTCCACGGAGACGTCTTCTGAAAGAGCGACAGTTTTCTGCTGACTTCAGATGCGTGCTCTCGGAAGAGTACTGATTCATTTTTCCCGCTTTCTACGGGAATATGTTGAATATGATCAGTACTTCGAAGCAGCAACAAGAAACTTGAAAAAATATTCTGGAGTGTCCACGGAGACGTCTTCTGAAAGAGCGACAGTTTTCTGCTGACTTCAGATGCGTGCTCTCGGAAGAGTACTGATTCATTTTTCCCGCTTTCTACGGGAATATGTTGAATATGATCAGTACTTCGAAGCAGCAACAAGAAACTTGAAAAAATATTCTGGAGTGTCCACGGAGACGTCTTCTGAAAGAGCGACAGTTTTCTGCTGACTTCAGGTGCGTGCTCTCGGAAGATTACTGATTCATCTTCTCATTTTTCTTTATGAACGTGTTCATTAAGACCGCTACTTACAAACAGCAACAAAAAAACTTGAAAAAATTCGAAGTGACTACGAATACGTCGACGGGAATAACTACAGTCTTCCGTCGGCTTCTTTAGAAGCGTGCTGTCGGAGAACGAAAAACGATTTTACACTTATTTCAACTTCAATGTGGTCTATATGCGTTCTTAAAACAAACAGCAATCAAAAATCCGGACATTTCGCGATTCTGGAGTACGGAATTATGATGCTATATTCACAACGTCTTCTACTAGACGGAAGAGTCAGAATACACCAGTTCTTTGAAATATATGTCAGAAAAAGTCATAAAGACTCGTAAAATTACAAGTTAAATGATAGTCGAGTGAGAATGAACGTTGCCGCCGTCGGTGGGCCTGTGAGAATCTGATCTACCGTAAGCTTTAGCTCGAGTCGGTCTACTTCAAATCTACGTTTCTCGCTTCAATCTCAACCAATCTGCTCGTTAGAGGTCGCAAAAGAAAGCTTATGAAATTTGGAATCGCTTGTAGGCGTTCGTTTTTTGAGAATTTCTGTCTAGCTCTCGATTTTTCGAGAAAACACAAAAAACCACTACTTTTACAACTGAAAAACTTGAAATGTACGTATCTCCGTTCAAAGTGCATATTTTTTTTCTTGGTCAAAAATCGCAAATTGTAGTCCTTCCCGATGTCTAAAAACTTGTAGGTCTCACATTTTTTTCGAAAAAAACATTTTCTGATTTTTTTTAAGTGACCGAAACGTTTTTCTTCTGTAGTTTACTTGATCCCATTTAGTCAAACCGCTTTTATTTTACAGATTTCTTGTGTCCAATAGTTAAATCTAATCGTGTATTAACAAAAAGTATCAAAATGGTTGAGAAAGCTGGGTTGTACCTGCCCCTTGACAATTTTTTTAAAACCCACGTTTCGAGAAAAACTGGCTCTCTTCAACACGCACGAATTTTTTGATCAGCTAATTGCAGAAAAATGTTCCTAATTTTTGTCCTTGCTTGTTCTGATTTTTTGAAATTTTATTTTTTGTGTTAACCATGTCGCCGACAACTTCTTTTGTTTTCATCAAGAAATTTTTCGATTGATAATGCAAGCGCGCTCTACGGTCACGCGTTAGAGATAAGAGACGGCTGAGTATGCGCATTTCGCGATCTAGCTGGCACATTTTTCGATCAGGAGACCGTGATGGCCGCGACGGCTCCGAGGAGCTCCGAAATCCGCCGAAAAGAAACATTCCTATTGATTTAAGCTTTTTATTTTTTGAATGCATTTCTTTCTTATGAAAACCACAATTCCCGCGTAAAAACCCTCCAGAAACCCCTTTTTTCAGCTAAATCTATGAACGGTCTTAGAAAAACGGAATAAAATTGCAATTTGCTTGAATTGCAGCCGATAATGGGTGAGTATTTGCAGTTTTCGACTACCAAAACATCCTGAAGAAATTGCAGGGCTTTCGCTCAGCGCCGGGCTGGTTTCCGCGTGCTTGCCGGTGTCCTACGTGCTTCTGGTGCACGTTTTCGACCGAAACGGAACGGATCGCAATGATCCGGACTCGATTCAACGCAGGTATCGTCTAGAAATCATTTGCAAAAATGTTTCCATTTTTCAGATTCCGCGGAGCTTTTTTGAGCAATTTAATATCGATAGCAGTTACAGCATATTATCTATTAGAAGTACGTCTTGTTCCTATATATTTTCAAATAAGAAACCATTGTTTTTCCAGTACACAAATTCGCCGCTTCTAGAAATGGGAATTCGATGGGACAACATCAGCCAATCGATCGTTTTTCCCTTTGTTTTAATGCACTCCTTTTATTTTGGACAATTTGTCATGATGTACATCGACAGAACGCTTTGGCACTATTTGGGTACCGAAAAAGATTCGTTTTGAAAAAATAACAGCGTTTTCCAGATTCGTACGAATGGAAAACTTGCTGGAATAGTTGGGTTTGGCGCAGAGATATTCTTGTGGTAAGAATTCGAAAAAAGTCGTGTTCTAAAATCGAAAAAAGTGGTTTCCAGGGCCCACTAACCGAGGAAATCGTGTTCCGATGTTGTTCGTCGACTCTGATGGCCCACATCTGGGGCGCGCCGCTCACGATCCTTCTGAATCCCATTCCATTCGCCGCGTCGCACTTTCATCACATTTGGGACGATCAGCGTAAAGGGTACTCGCTGGCACACTCTATTTTGCAAAGAGGTACATAATTGACCAAAAATAATATCCTTCAAGAAATGTCGTTTAGGCTTCCAGTTCTGTTACACGTACGTCTTCGGCATGTTTGCCACGTATCTCCAGTTGACGACCCGCCACGCCGTCGTTCCGATCATTGCGCACTCGATTTGTAACGCACAGGGACTGCCGTTGTGGATGGAAATTGGTAAGGGAAAAGACAATAAATAGCCCATCCTAACTTTGTATTTGAAATCCCTCTTTGAAAAGTTTGTGACTAGGACAATGTTAAGTGCATTTCTATTATTATTACAGTGGGGTACTGTCATCAAATGGTGCCGCCCGAAAGGGAAATGATCAAAGAGAACGTTGTGCAATTTGGAATTCAATTAGTTTTGAACTTTTGGCGCTACTCTACAGGATGACGCATTGTTACCTAGACTTACCGGGGATAAATTGGTTTTTTAGAATGAGACATACATGGTTCGAAAGATATCGTTTTTAGGATTGCAAAAATGGAGAACACGTTTGTAACAATCTTAAGAACATGACCTATCGAGCCATTTAAGTCGTGAAAACTAAGAAATCCTTAGCGAGTGAAGGTAACTATGCGTAATCCTGTCCAAAACTAATTGAATTCCAAATTGCACAAGCACCTCTTTGATCATTTCCTTTTCGGGCGGCACCATTTGATGACTGTACCCCACTGTACACACGGAACACTTTACATTGTCCCCATTTCTTTCGATGCGTGACTCACTCCGTTTCTTGCAGCCAACTACCCGAAACGCCGTGATCGATGGACCCTCTATCTGGCCTACGGCGCCGGATTTTCCGCATTCGTCTACCTGTTGTGGTCCCAAAAAGGAATGCCTCGACCCTAATTCCATGCCCAATTCTAAACATTTCCTCCTTTTTCCCACCTGATCTATCGCCTTTCTCCCCCCATTTTTCTTTCAGTAGAATGTGATTCGCCAGTAAATTTATCCGGACCATTATGTGCTACGACGATGACGTGGCAGATCAGTCCTGTCGAAGGTCCATCACTAATTGAAGTCTTGAAAAGATGTTCCGGTTTTTTACCGAGAAATCACTATTGTAACCAGTTTTTTCTAGGGTTTTCGAAAAGCATTTTAAAATAGATCAATGGTATGGGCAACCGGGATCCAAAGAGGTGTTCCCGTCACGTCAACCTCCCTAACAATTTTCAAAGTCTTCGAATCGGACCGACCAAGGTATTTTTCCCACGTTTGGTCACCAAGTACGGTATTGAAGGCGCAGCGCGAGAGGTTCGTGGCGAGACCCGTTGAATGTTCCGTCCGGCCGAACGCGTCTTTTTGATTTGATCCGAACAAAAACAGATCGGAACCTCCCGTTCGCCGCCTGCGTCTCGGATCTCTCGGTTGGTCGTTGATCAGTGTCCTCTCCCTCTTTCGCTCTCCGGAGAAAAGAGGGGGAGGATGGGTGAGAAGGAAGCGGACAGCCGGTGTTTGTATGTATACAATCGAGCGAATTGGTGTGACCTCTTTGTCTCTCCTTCTCTCTCTCTCTCTCTCTCTCTCCCTTTCTCCCTCTCTCGCAATGGGTCCTCTCCGGTACGCCCATCTGTTTTGCACATAAACAATGTGTCCCATCCATTTGAATTTCTGTCTTGTTTTCTCGCCAGAATGTTGCATTTTTCCAAGATTTTCTACGTTACCGTTACCGTTTAATTCAAACTTTTTTCAGAGAGACTAATTTTGTAAGCATATCGCTTTTTAGCCATACCTGTGTTCCAAGACATTTCAATCATTACCGTGAGCAATTTCGTGATCGTTATAAGAGAAAATCGAGGAATTTTGCGATTGACCCAATCTTTAAAACAGCTTGAGAATCGTTGAGACCATTTCTGTATCTTCTTTATCGTTCCCTTGAAGTGCCGTTTTCGATTGGCTTCTCTGCTGGCGATCATTTTCATTCAAACTTTCCTCCTTCCCTTCTCTGTTCTCGTTGCTTATCACTGAATGTTTTCCGAACCATCCCATCCCGGTCACTCCTAACACTATTTCCAACAACTTTTTCTCTTCGCATCGCCGCTGGCTTCTGTTGTCAATTTGCCAAGTATAATACACAAAATGATGCACTTGGAGAAAGGTTTCACGAAAATCGAGGATTTGTAGAGAAAAAAAGAGATGATACGGCGGCGGAGAATCACAAAATCACGTGCGTCGCTCGATTCTATCATCAGTCGGGCAGCCGGCCACTGATAAAAATGAGTTGGTATCGGTAACGCATTTCCGTCTCTTTTCCGACACATTTCGCACTTGTTTACACGTACTTTCTATACACAATGAATGACACGTGGCATTTCGCTTTTTTTTGAATTTTCCTTTGGTAGAGCGCACTTGCACAACCTTGAAAAATTGGAATTTGAAACCACTCGAAAAGGTGCTAAAACGTGTCTTTCACTCTCTCTCTCTCGCTCTCTCGCTCTCTTTCTAATCTGTCAAACGGATCGACCTTGTCTATTCGGCCGGTGCGCGCTTTCTCAAGTTTGCCCAGACATTTACACAGTTCAAATAAATCGGGGTCCGCGTGCGCGCGAGCGCGAAAACTTCTTGACCAGAGATTGGAGAGTGAAAAAGAGAGAGAGAGAGAGAGAGGAACAAAGAGAGATTATCACATTGTCTGCTATTGTTTATTTATTTGCTCGAGCGCACGCAACGAGTGGTTTTGTTTTTCGTTTCTTGATTCCCATGTGACACTCTGTAATCTGTATCCATTACAGAGTCGTAGTAAAGTCTTCCTAATTTTAAAGCTCTTCATTTCGAAAACGATTGAGAAATTCTCGGTATTCCGTTTTCCGAAAAGCTCTGTTGCTGATTGAGTCCCAAGAGTGCTTGCATTTAAGACAAAAATTGACAAAATGCGTACGCTGAACTGAGAACGCTCGAATTTCAGTCATTTTCCAATCATTTTCACTGTTCTAGCACTCGAATTGCTTGATTTTCGTGATTTTCTTTCCAAATTGTCAGAAGAATGCGAAAATGCTCGGAAGAGGCTGTTTTTACAAAGTTTTCGCAATTTTTATATTATCTGGTTTCTGGACACCGTGTCCCTCTCATTTTAAATTTTTGCGACTGCACTCAAATTTCGGATCGAAACCACATGTCCGTCTCTTTTTCCCCCCACACACAAACTTGTCAATTTCTGTTCATTTTCGTCCTCGCCGCCCGCATAGATGTCAATCTTGGCACTCGGCCAAGGACGTGCCGGTCGGTTCCCTGAAGAGGGCCTTGAACGAACGGAAAACTGAAGACGACTCTACCGTTTTCGTCGCGGCGCACGCGTTTTTTCATCCGCTAGTGGGACAGTGTTTTACTCGATCGAAAGAATCATCTTTCTTTTGGTCTGTAATAGATTGGCTCGATTGCCGGCGGAAAACTATTCTCGAAAAGGCTCACACTCTATCATGACGGTATTTCAATGCAATCGCGCTCTGTTGAGAAACTCTGTTTGCAGTGCAAGTTGCAGTGACCTCGCAAAATGACTTGGCGGCCTAGAAAATTCGTCCAGATTGCGAACAGAGCGCGACAATACATCATTGTGCTCGAATTGTCGAGTGTAGTCTGAAATACGCGGCGCCTGAATTTCGGTGAAAAACAGGTGCAAAACCTTTTGAATATTCAATTCGCGAATCATCACCCATCACGGGACGAAAAAACAAAGTTTGACCACCGCCAAAAACACGTAGAAGGATTCAAGGTTGCCCTTTTTCGATTCGATTCCACTTGAGAAAAAAACTAGTCTCTTCGCCTTTTTAAATGTTCTTCAATTGTCAAAGTTCAAGATCAAGTGTCAGGTGGAACGTTTGAACAGTTTTTAATTTTTTTTTTTACTTTTGGGCGCCTAGAGATCATTTTCTCCTCGTATTCGTCATTGTTGCGACATTTGTCATCTCGTTTTCTCCGTAATTAACTTTATTCCGTCGACACTCGCTGACGTATTCGAGAATTTGTTTCGAGCACCGATCTTTGTATTCCCAAACCCATTTCACAACTGAAACTCGATTAGTCATTTGTGTTGAACCGATACGATAGCTGACATGTAGGTCTGAAAGTGGTACTTGACTTTTTTTGTTGTTGTTTGATTCGAAACGAAACACCACTTTGCGGCTATCTCATTTCCTACCGCACACTATTGGTTTTTGAAGCGGAATTGGTATTGGCCCGAAATTTGAACATTTTTGAGGAATACCGCATAGCTTGCAAGCTGATTTTGAGACTCTGTAACTGTGAAATAGTTCTTACACGCGAATCTTTTGAATTTTCTGAATCCTAATGCCTAACCTTAAAAAATGTTTGTCTCGGGACAGTTTCTAGCATACTGTATCAATCTAATCTTTTAGGCTTCAAAACCAGATCCGAAGCCCTTACGTGAAAGCTAAAATTCTGACAAAAGTGCGGGAAGATTGTGTCTGGATGGACCAAGAATAAATTCGAAAGTTTTGGCCAAAGCCGGGGCACAATTACTACGGAATTCGGAATTTTCCTAAAAACTGCCAATCTCTACAGGTTTCTAGCTGGTTCGTAACACGAATCGTTTGAAGTTTTAGTTTACTTCAAACCGAAAAGTAAAGTTGCAAAACGCATCCGGACAACTTGTTTCTTCGTCTCCCCCCGAAGCTTCCAATTCTCCGCCTCACAAAAACCAGTCTGACAATGTCTTCTGTCACCATTTCGAAACAGTCCTCCTCCTCCTTCTTCTTCTTCTTCTTCTACTCACGAATAATTGTTCTCCCACTCCAAGTTGTTCCTTTTCTTCTTCTTCTTCTTCTTATTCTACTTTCTCGCAAAACTGTACCAACTTTTTGTTTTCTCCTCCTGATTCTCGATCATTATAGCCATTTTATTAGTTGACCACCCCTTCACCACTAAAAAAACCGCTATTGTTGTTGTTGTTGTGCGGCTCTTTCGGTGGTCAATAATTTTTTGACCCTCACTCACTGACTGGTCCCCTTAAAAGTGTTGACACTTTTTTTGTTGTTTTGTTTAAAAAAAGAGCCAACGGCGAATTGGGGTCGTTTGTTGTCCGTCCGTCCGCCGGACGTAACCAACTTCCGCTTGTTTACTTCCCCCCCGTCCGGGTACCAGGTGGTGCATTGTGTACTCGTCGCCCAGTCAAAAACTGGCACTTTATAGATCAACTAGAATGCAGCTGACTGACTAGTGAGAGAGAGAGAGAGAGAGAGATCAGGAACTCAGCACTTGCAAAAAATATTGGCCCAACTGTACGGATCATCGAAATTTTCCGAAAAAATCAAGTACTGTTTTCAATGTTCTAGGAAAAGCGAACAAACGACACTCCGAAATGACGCACCGTGCTTTGTTTGCTAAAAAGACACTTTTTGACCCATTTGTTTTTTCAACCAAGAAAAACGGTGTCCGAGGGCTAATTTCTGGTTGCACATCTGGTCCCACTTCATCTTGTGCTCCGTTTTTCACAAAACCACAGATGTTGCGACTTTCTGATCAGAGAAAAAAAGAGAGAAACGGAGAGGAAGAGCACTTGGTTCCCTTTTCATTTATCCGTGGGCTGATGCTCTTTCTCACTCTCTCTCTCTCTCTTTCTTTTTCTATCTTTTTCCAGAGCCAACACGAGAATGACGTGGATTCATCTTTTCAGTTTCGCAATGTCACCCCGCTTGTGTTAGACGAGATTAATTTCTCGGCAGCGCCCCCGTGATTTATGGCCTTTCTCAATTTTTCATTAAGCAAAGAGTATCGCTCTTCTTTCCTTCCTTGCTCCCCACAAAAAGATGGATATATCATCCGTCCGCTTTTTCGTTTTTTTCTTCCTCTTCCCTTCGATCCGATCACTTTTGCCCTTTACCGCCCCCGTCGGT